TTTAAAATAGCAGTTGTTTCAACAGGTTAGTACATATCTGTATTATGTTCTTAATCAGGTAAAAAATAGTTTCCTATAAGTATTTAAATTCAAACATACTAACAATTTTCTGTTGATTAGTTTCTTGACGATCTTTTAGATCTATGTGTGATATAAATTTATTTACTTTACTTTTGCTATAACAAACTTTATCTAGCAAAAGACTAACAATTAAAAACTTTATGTAATAATGACTTCAAACAAAACTATGGACAATTGAACATCGACAGAAGTTTTCTCATTTTAAACACTTAACCCAAAATTTAACTATTCAAGGAAATACTTGAATAATTAGAACAAGATATTCCAAAGTCATAATGATAATATACTTTTTTTTAGGCACTGAAGAAATGCATATACATTAAGAAAAGAATTATTTTTCTAAAAGAAAATTTTGACCTATTTCATAAAAATGTTCAAAACACAACCTGGAGACTTTTGTTAGATACCACTTGTCTCTCTACAATTCATTTTTTCAACAGTTCAGGTTGTCTCCATGGAAGGCTGTATGAAAATTGAAAATGCATGAAATAGATGGAGTTGACAACTACCATATCATAATAAAACTGAAAGAAAACTCCGAGCGTAAAATCCAAAGTTATTTGTACTCAAAAGTCAAAGTTCGCCTCAATTAAGTAAAGTTACTACCATTGGGTCTTGAGATGCTGTGTCTAACCATGTAATATGGCAGTGGCAAATTATTCATATTAATTTATTTACGGGGAAAACAAAACTAAATAAAAACGTGAACTTACCAGCGAAACGACAAAGAAACAGCTCTAAATCTATTGTTATAATTCCATGCAACATACTTTGGAATTTTTACGTTAGGAATAAGCTACAACTCGAAAACTATCCTCGGTGTTAGCAACTGAAACTACGACAAGAGATCAACAAGATGGCCACTGTAAAACTTCCGGTGACTTTGCATGAATTCTACAAACCAGTTCAGTATAGAAATCAGTGATTTGCTTTGCTCTTCTAAGCAGCAATGATGAGCCATAAATTCGACGTAACTAGAGTGTTGCAGCGGAAATAGCGAATCAAAGGATAGATCACAGGTTAATTAGATAAGAAGTGCATGTTCTACATCAGTGGTTCCCAAACTGTTTTAGTCTGAGGCTCCTTTGATGTGAATAAAAAGTTTGAGACCTCCAATCTATAAAAACGCCTTAACATGTGATTTTAAAATCTCCCCTCCCCCCTCACTACTTTAGCATGGTGATTGAAAAGCAGTGCCGTAGTAAAAACAGTGACATCTCCTTTCGACATACTGTATCATTTAATTGTTCAACATAATTTTTATCGGATTATTGTTTATTTAGAATTAAAATTAATTCAGCATCTTTGTTTTCGGTCCATTTTTGCCCCCCCCCCAGAAAAGCTTCACGGCTCCCAGAGGGGCCGCGGTTCCTACCTAAAAATACATTTCTCTTAAATGACGTCTCCTTTGATCTTTATCGGCATCTCAACGAAGTGTTGGCGGACGGTCTTGCAACATAAAGTCGTGTAAAACTTATGAAATTAGACTCTGTGAATTGCATTTGGTCCTTTAACGCACTTTTCGGATGAGAAGTAATTTTCTTCATACTTCGTCTTGAATATAGCTTAGATAATTAACTAAACAGTAGATGTATATTTATGTGACAAAGAACTGACACAGGTATTCTCCAAGTTTAAAATACTTTTAATGTAAGTACACTTGATAAGGATTATTGCAACAACAACAACAAGAACAACTCACAACTTTCAAAGTATTTGGTTAAACGTGAGAATACCCTCCCCCCCTTTATTTTACATATTCATGACCCATGATTGTTTTAGATTTTCACGTCAAGTAACACAAGGGCCTTAATTTTGAGCTGACAGACGTACTAAAGGGAAGGCAGCTAGTCAACAGTTCCCACCGTCAACTCTGACCGAATAGTGGGTTTTGACCCCCGTTTAGTGCATCTACGACCCCAAAGTGCTGAACGCATTTTTGCGACAACGAGACGCGAACAATAAGCTCTCATATTCACAGTCCCGGGACGCTAGCAATTAAACCACGCCCAGCCATTTATTAACACACTTTATGGATCTTAAACAATATGTAATTCATATATTGCTTAAGAAACTTTGAAAATAGCAAAAAACTTCAGCACATATTATAAATTTTAAATCTTTTTTATGTTATTGAGATACAACAGAGTTTGTTTTGGTGGTTATTAATCACAAAACTACACAATGAGCTATCTGTGCCTCTGTTCACCACAGGTATCGAAACCCGAATTTTAGTGTCGTAAGCCTATAAATATACCTCTGAGCCACTGGAAGCTAAGATACAATCATACAATAATTATTCTTGTCACTACGCATTATAAGCATGCACAGTAAGAATTTTAACCAAGAAAAATCGCGCAGGCGCATTATGGTCTACAAATGAAGAAATTGCAACAAAAGGCGAATGTAAATATACTTTACTAACCATTTTGTACAACAGCATTAAAAGCTTGAAGTTTTAAAAAGGTCTGACGTTCAGGTCGTATAACAATATTATAAAGCCCCCCAGTGGCACAGCGGCATGTCTGCGGACTTACAAAACTAGAAACCGGGTTTCGATACCCGTGGTTGGCAGAGCACAGATAGCCCTTGTGTAGCTTTGTGCATAATTAAAAACAAACAAAAAATTCGAACCCGCGACCCTCAGATTGCGAGTCAAGCGCCCTAACCTCGGTGGGTAAGCAGTCAGTATACGTACTTAAAGGTTGAAATTCGAGGTTCGATTTCTCACGGTGGATAGAACGAAGATAGCTCATTGTGTAGCTTTGTGCTATAACAACAACGATCTTTAAAAGAAATGATTTAATTTAAAACACCTGTTTTTTTTTTAAAGGCTTTGCATATTTATGATATTTTCATTTCAATTTATACAATGTTATATATATTTAATTACTTAAACATTTTATATGTTTCTATTTTATTAAAAAGACTGATGGGGCGCCACCTAATGAGGAAATGAATAAAGAAAACTCACTACAGGAGGTGGTAAATGGGCTTGTCATTTAACATTGTTGATGATTTGATGATCTACTAGCTCACACCATTTCTCTAAATAATTCAAAATGCTTTTAGATATTGGAGTGTAAAATATTAAAATAATATTATAATAACGTTTTTAAGCCTGTGTGGACGTTAACTGTACGACGTATATCATTATGGACATCTAATTTTATAAATTAGTTTGTCATGTAAAAGTATATACAGCAGTAAGGCCTATAAAAAAAGCAGAATAAAATCCATCTCTAATCATACCTGATTAGAAGATGAGTTGATTTTAAAGAGACATAAAACATCACTTAATGCTGTATTTAATTACAATACTGTTACGTATCTGTTACTCGTGCCCTCCACGGTGGCAGAGAGTCAGTCTGAGAACTTATAGCGCTAAAAATCGAGAAGATTGTGTAGCTCTGCGCTTAACAACAAACAAACTGTTACCCATTGGCAGACACATAAAGCTTATTCGACGTGCATCAAGTGCGCAAACAGGAACTGTTGCAGAATTGAACTTTTGCATCGCAAAACTTGCCAATTGCAGTAAATACTAACCTACACTGTATTCGTTTTTCTGTTCACCTTAATTTAAAATGAAGTTGGTGTGTTAAAATATATGAAAAACTAAATAAATAAGGTAGCCTTGAAAAGTATTATACTGCACTTATAATTAACGTTTCAGAGAATTTTGTTTTTCATCGTCCAAACCAACTGAGAAGTTAGAGTGTTAACCGAAAGGCTTCTTGAGAAATGACTTGTAGAAGACAAAAGATAGTTCTAAAATGCTATTTATACACGCCTCTTATTTTGAATACGAAATGGACAAATTAAGAGGAATGTGGAAAAAATAAAACGTTTGCAGTTAACGTATTTTTTTTTTTTTGCAGATTTTGGACCTAAAATGAATATATTCAAGCTTCTGAAATACGTGAACATAACATGATGAAGATCAAGTTTGTAAGATGTTGGGGAAACCAGTTATTTTAAAATTTTAAACTTCTATTTATATAGGTAACTTCAAAACCTGAAAAATAGGAGAAGTAAAATAATGACAAGCTACTCAATTTCCATGCACTTTTAATAACATTAGTTTAAAAACTAACAAGTAACATTGCCGTTTTTAACAGTGTCTAAATCAGAATTTGTAGGCCGAATCGTTGAAATGAATAATGTATTTATAGACAGGAAGAAAGGCAAGTTAATAGAAGCGAAAATAGCTGAAAGTGGCAAAGAAGTAATTAACATCTCTTTTAACCAGGACATCTAATAATACTTTTACTAAATAACTCAAAATGGCTCACGTATTTAGTAATTTGGTTTTGTAAGCACCTTCCTTTTGTCATTTACTGCTATTTGATTGGCATGAAAATTAATTTGATGTAATATGATCTAATAACTAATGATGATCATAAAAGTTTGGCCAATCAGTGCAATATTTTTTCACGCCTTTTAATACATCATATTATGAAAACTGGTATGACATCCCTCCCCCCAAAAAAAACGATTGAAATTGATAATAAATCCAATATCGTTTAGTTTGATTTTTTTAATATTTCATCTTACTCTGTTCTCGTCACCTATCGGTAGTTCCATGAAACAATATTTTCTGCGCCTACTTTTCATGTTTTATCTTTCGGTCCAGTTATTAAGTTTATATTCGAAATATTCATACATTTGAAAATATTGTACCGATATTTTCTTATAGACAAAATATTATTACGGGTTTTGTTGAAAGTAGCTATTGGTCCTTGGTTAACGTTAAGTGTCAGACAGGATATATATTTTATAGCGTGCGCGATATTTCATAGCTTTTAATTAAACGATAGTGTGTTTGTATTTGTTCCTCCGTTTTTCTATATTTCCTTTTCATTATTGTATGTATACTTTTTCTGGGTAACAAAATTGAATATTTTAACCAAAATAGGCAGATAACGTAATACTTTTATTCAGACAGCGGTGATGCAAAGAAATGGCAACAAAATCTGACGGTAAAGAAGCAAGAAATAATGTAAATCACACTTTCTTTCATCTTTTGGTTTTATTCTTACATCAGATCTTAGGTGTTGAGTTATGTTAGCATTCAAAGACTGTGATCACATCTTAAGCTAAATATTGAGCAAGAAAAGCTCTGATTATCAATTACAACAAGACTAACAAAACAGTTGAGAAAATCCATTTGAAACTTTATTTATTTTCCCATTCCCGTTCAACGTCTAAGAGATTCTCCGTGAAACTTCCAAGTAGCTTGGAAATCAGTTGTGCTTCCTCACGAAGTAGCTCTAATTTTCTTTTGATTCCAGGGCCATAAGTATTGTCAACAGCAAAGGTCTCGTCCGAAGCTTTATCTTGGATTAAGTATAGTCGATTTACATCATCAGGGTACTCCTCTATGGCCAAGTTTTCACGTTTACCGAAACGCATTGGAACTCTAATTTTGTCGTCGTTCCTTTTTCCAAATCGTAGAGGAAGTCTGAGGTGGCACTGCTTGCAATCCTTCTGTGTTTGGCATTGAGCAAAACAATTCAAAGATTTTCCTGATGAGAACTCTAGAAAGACCACGTAGAGTAACACAACCAGTAGACTGAACCGTTTTATAGACAGGTCTTCGGTGTCGTGCATTATCCTGGTTAACGCTAGAACCGTATCCTGAAACAAAACAATGACAATGAATAAATAAAAGACTAAAAATAAATTGTAAAATAACGATTTTACAGCAACACATCAGCGTCAGTTTGTTTCATTACATTTCTGTATGTTTGAATAGCTTCTGTTCTAAGCAAAATTATTTTGGATATAATGATGAATATGTTGGTGTATGAAATAATGTTCTATTTTCCCATTATGCTGTAACCTTGCTTTAATGGACAAAAATTCTATCTATTTGTTTTAACAACTAGCTAAATACGATCATCCTAACGTAATTAAAATAGATACGAAATTGGATGACGTATCGTTTAAAAGACAGTTTTTTTTATTTGTTATCAAAAGTGAAATATACAAAACATTTTCTGGTTCGGTTGCTGTGCTAGTTTCAACCCATCCGTAGAGCGAGGAATAATTTTCTAGTATTTCTAATGATTGGAAAGCTTGAAATTGTTCAGTCAATAATGCCATAGAATATAATAAACAATTGTTATTGAGGGTTTTCTTATAATCATAGATATCTATTAAACAAAAAACGTATGTGTTTATATGAGAACAAACAAATTTTTTACATATTTAATTATTATGGTCGTTTCACGCTAAATCTTACTAACATAAAAGAAAATTACTAAAAAAATGAAAAACTTAATGTTCCAATATTTATATATAGTGTTATATTCTGTAGACGTGTTAGTCACCCTAATGGTAAAGGTTATATATTTCAAACCTAATTATTTTAGACTACTTGTATTTACTACTAAATTGATTATGTATATATTACAGAGAAAAAACATGCAACTGAATTAAGCAGCAAGAAAAAGAGCAAATAAATAATTGGGTACCATATAGAAAATCACTAATATTAAAACAAGTTTTAAAAACGCATATCATATTAATTTATTTATAACTACTTAACTGTATAATAACATTAGCTTTTATAATGCTTTGCACACTTCCTGTCATGCCAACACGAATAACTAACAAAAAGGTTACCTTCGTTGTATATTACCTATTTAATAAAGTTTTACAATTTATTTGTTTTTATCAAATTTCGCGCAAAGCAACTAGAGGGCTATCTGCGTTAGTTGTTCCAAATTTTGAAGTGACTAGAGTGGAGGCAGTTAGTAAATACTACTCAGCGCCACCTTTTGGGCTACTCTTTTACCAATAAATAGTGGTATTGACCGTCACATTGTAACGCCTCCAAAATTGAAAGGGATAGCATGTTCGATGACAGTATTCGAACGCGCGACCTTCAGATTGCGAGTTGAGTGCCTTAACCACGAAGCTATGCCAGGCCTCAGTCTTTTAAATATGTTTTCATTTTAAATTGTAAAATGTATTTTATTAAGTGTTATTCTACCACATTCATGTGTCTTAATAATCACGTGACATATACAAAAACATTTCTCTCATTTAACGTTCGAAAAACTGCTCTAGAATAAGAGTGATCGCACGGTGCCTAACGCTATGTCCTAAGGGAAAGTGACAGCGTGTGTACTGGGCGATGGAGCTCTACCAGTGAACATGGGAGATCACAAGCAGCTAGAGTGTTATATGATAGCCGTATAGTATGATTATGAAAACTTAATTTATGGTGTAAACTGAATAACTTAATATATATATAAGAGACTCAACTCTAATTTAAGGTGCCAGCAACACTATACCCCTGTTCACGAATCTGAAAGACATCTTGTGAAATATACATAATATTAATGTTAGATGGAATGTTGTTATCGGTACCAACCAAAACTATTGAATGGACCTCGTGAGCAACATATCATGAATGATTTGTTATCAGTATGTTTTAGCTACTTATTTCTGATATATTTCTGACTAATAATTTTAACGTGTGTTTTTGCATTTTTAAATATTAAATGTATTTTAACTTAAACTGAGGTTAACAAATTGGACCTAAGTCTAAGTAATTTTACCTATTTACTGAAAAATGTTTTACTGATATGATATGCTTACGTGGAAATCAATATTTAGTGTTTGTGATTATCAACCACTTCTGGTCAGAGCATAAGTCAGAAGTAAAAATTAACCCAATAAATAATGTAGAATGTATTGGTTCATGAAATGGGTACCCTCATTATTATCCACATATTCGGCCGTAATCCCAAAAATATATCACGAGGTTCGACCAGTGTAGGAGGTCTAGATCATTCTTAAATCCATATATTGAGCTAACAATGCAAAATAATTATCACAATAAAAAATGCATATACGAATTATATGCAAAATAACAAAAGTAAATACATATATATTGGCCATTTTAACCAATGCTGCTAATGAAAGTAACACCAACGAACAAATAGAATATACCTTACGAGACGCATACAAATGAAATGTTTATTTCATTCACAATCACTGATTACCTCTCCGTTGTTAGTTTGTGAATATAATAAATTACAGTTGACATATTTTTTGTTTCATTTGAAAAGATTGATCCCGGAATAATAGTTTTTGACATTCATACCTATTCCTGTTCAGTTTTAAAGCTGTTAATATCACAATTGAGTTATTAGAAGGTCTGTAGTACTAGGATGGCTCTAAACCGTTATAATGACTATCACAAAATGCTGTCAATATGTGCGAAAATTCTTAGAAATACATTTTTTGTCAGTCCTTCAAAAAAAAAAAAAGAATCTTAATCTCCAGGTTTATAACCTATACTGAATGCAGGTAACGGTTGTTTTGTCAAACCGATTACCATATACTGTCCACTGTTGGGACTGTGGTAAGTCTACGGACTTACAACGCTAAAATTCGGGGCTCGATTAGCCGTGGTGAACACAGCAGATAGCCCAATATGACTTTGCTCTAAATCAAATAGACCGTATATTTCTCTTTCCGTATCTTCCAGGTATTTTTACGTTTTGTTACACTGTAGTTGCAGTTTGTTTTTTATGCATATAGATTGTAACGATAATTTACACAATATGAAAGGCGTCACCGAGACGTGTCCCCACTTGCAGAGAGCCTGAAAGACATTTGGCCATCCCTTTCACGAGTTACATCCGTGTATTAATTCTAGCTTCCAGAAGTATTAATTTTGTATAAAATAAAAATGGAGTTATGCGAGCTGGGACTGAGTATCAAAACATATTTATTTTATATATCTACCTCCCAATGGAGCTTTCACGAGTTGGTTCAGGTGGATCCCTGGGGCAGCTGACCCGACTGCTCGAACCGTATGTAAGTCACTGATAATAAAACAAGTTTCATCATAGACACGTGATCAGTAAGGTGGCTGAAAGCGGTAATTTCCTATTCACTGCTTAGCAGAATCGGACACAGGGGTATTTCAGAATGCAAAGCCTAAGAACATCTGTTATGGTATTTGAGAGAATATTCTCCAAACGTGAGTCGTAATTTCTAATTTAAATCCGTTTCAGTGTTGATCTTACAATGTTTTTTCTTTTTCTTTTATTAAATAGCATATTAAATAATTTAGTTCCGGCTTTAGCTTTGATGCTTTGAAGCTTGCTGAAGGTGATTAATGATTCATAGAAAAATGTTTTATACTAGTAAAGATTACTCTTAAAGCCTTTTTCCCTTTTTATAGAAATCATGTCACCTTTAGTTGCAGAATTATGCAGATATTCATCATATCGTAATGTGATATTTAAGAGATTTATAAGAAAATATATATTATAGAAGATTTTATTATTTTGGGAAATAATTGAAAACAAAATTACAAATAACATTTCGAAAGCTAAACAAACTTTTCTTAAAAATCAGGTTTTAATTTATGCGATATTTGAGTCGAAAGTTAACATGATATCATGGGCGTCATTAGTGTCGAAAAGATTCGGGGCTTGGGCACCAAGAAGTAAGTAAAACATAATTGCATTGTACTTTCTCCGAAAGGGGGCCAAAGACCGCCTGGAGAATTACCTGTTTTAACCACTCGCATCACTATACAGTAGTGTGTTGTCTGTCAGTAGACACTAAAATGACATCACATAAGGGCCGCTTAACGTTGTATTTTGTACTATTTGACGTCAGTAAAATGCGTGCATGCTATGAATCATAAAAAGAATTATGCATTCTGTAGGCTACAACACAGCATAACATATGAACTTCAAAAGCAAGAATATAAATATTTGTAGTGTGTTGTCTGTCATTCAGCCAGTAGACACTAAAATGACGTTAAATAAGAGACGCTTATTGTTGCAATTTGTACTATCGTGACGTCAATAAAACCTGCGCATGCCGTGAATCACGAGAAAAAGAAGACTTATACTCCCTGTAGGCTACAACACAGCATGACAAAAAATAAAAATGTTTGTTACTCTTAATTTTGGTTTGATTTACTCTTGAAACAAAACACTTTCGGGGACCCTGCAGAAGTACATCTAGTATATTATTGTTTACGTAAGGTAAATTCAGTGGAACTGTGAAATACATTTAGGGCACGGACTACCTAAGCTGGTATCCCTGTCTACCATATTGATTTTGTACTCCTGGACCAAGAGAACCATAATCGATTAGTTCATTCAATAGAATAATTTGTTGATTGGTATCAGTGTGATAAACAAAAGTTAGGGTGATAAACAAAAAACACATATATATATATCATGGCTGGAGACGGCTTAAATGGGTAATGAAGAAAAACTTTAATATAAGCTTAACATGACAGCCATTATTAGTCTCAAAGTGGGTTCCTCGTCATCGAACATATATATATATACATGTGGTGTGAGTGGTTAAAATAGGTGACCCCTCCAGACGGACTTCGGACTCCTTTCGGGGAAATTCCAGGCTCTACTGAGGATAATATATTTCTTATGAACTCTAGATTCAGTTACAATACATGTATTGTTATTTATGTATTATTTTGTAATTTTTGTAAACAAATATATGTTGGAGAAACAGAAGATCGTTATTTAAGAATACATTAATAAACATCAAATATGCAAATAACTGAACAGAAGAATATATTACTTTATATTGACCCTTTTTCAAATATTTCTATTTTGGTATTTTTGTAAAAA